TGAGCCACTGCTTTTCCCCAGAAGGCAAAAATTCACCTTTGCAGGCTGAACCCTCAGTTGGTTTCCATGTTCTTCACATTGTCTCCTTCTAGTGACCACCGTGTGGAGACAAGCAATGCACGGGTGCATCTCACCCCTCAAAGTGAGGGTCAGAATAAAAGGGGGAATAACCTTAAACCTCTCTAAAGTGATCACCCACTCCTTTCTGATCATGTGGCTGTGGGCCTTACCATTGCTGTGTGATTACAGACTCGCATTAAGCTGACAGTGCAGTTCACTGCCTGAACCTTGAAATTTAACACTCTGCAAGTATTTAACCTCCTTGAAATGCTGACAGAAACATTTGGTTTTAAGGTATATAAGGCCAGATTCTTCCCTCCCATAATTTCATTGGTTATAGTGAAATTGTACCACAGAGAAAATTGTCACGGAAAATCCTAAAATAGTACTTTAATCACTAATAACCTCTAGACACATAGTGCTGCATGAAATAAATAAATCCCCTTTTCAACTTCAAAGTGTGTGTCTAATAAGAAAAGTGAGAGCCTATAATGTGGTGCCATTATATTCAACTGATCTGCTTCCTTTCTGGAACCAGAATCGCATTAACCGGCTTCGGTGCCTGCATAGGATCCTTCCTGCTTAACAGTGTTAGTGGCCCTGCAAAGCCAGTACCCAAAGAAAAAGAGAGTTGCATTCTATTCTAATTAATTTTACTCTGAAGCGGTGGCTCAAATATATATTAGCATAGTATATTTGTGTCTGGTTTTTTTAATTCTTTAGTTGATTATTATGAAATTTTATAATTAGAATTGCTCCATGATTAAATCTGTAACATCTGTCTGAATCTCAGCTTCTCCTTTTCAATCTCATTAGGGCACTAGGACAACCCAGATGATTCTGATCATATAATTAGAAAGCAGTGGTGCTCATTGTCTGGTCTGTCCAGCAGAGCAATTGCTGGGGAGTGTGCACCAGAAATAATCCCATTTAAAGCGAGAGTCATTACTCCCCTGTGACACCATGGTAGAGAGGGCTTAAGCCACTCTGAAAACAGCTTGAGTTTAAAGTTACTGCAATGCAAACATTCAGCCCAAGGGCACATATTTACCCCAGGTCACATTTCAGAGCACGGATGATGTTTAGCACTAATTAGCCCCCATGTGGACATGCTGTAAAGTCCATATACTAAAATTAATGTTTCTCTGGACTTGGTAAGGCATAAACATGCACTTAATTGAGGCATGTGCCTAAAGGGTGAGCTGGGCTTGGGAAACAGATCCAAATTTAAGTACTAGGAAAACCTAGGTACTGAAAAAGAACAGTCATGTTTTGTGTACTGGCCACACAGAAAAGAATTTTTCCAATATTTTTAATTCTACAAACTGGGCTTTATCTTTTCCATTAAGTTTCAGTTTGTTTTGTTTTGTTTCTTTTCATATTTTTCATGATATGAAAAAAATATGAAAAATATGAAAAATATGAAAAATATGAAAAATATGAAAAATATTTTCATATTTTTTCTTCCTACATGCATGCATGCATACACATGTACACACATTCTTTGACCTGTAGTCATATGTTTACATACACACACCCACACAATACTACAGGTAAAATACAATTTATTTTCCCAGTGCACACAGCATGGCCTAAATGATATATATGCAGCGAATCCCTGGCATGTTGGGGAAATATGCCTGAGCTCCACAGTCAGGGTGATGTTGACACTAGCTTCTTCTGCAGTGAATTCACCTGTGGGTTTTTTTCCCCAGAGGGTAAAACCCACAAAAGCCTGAAGCAATATTACCTCTATGTTAGACAGCACACTGCAGTATGTTCAATTTATTTTGTGTACAGGCAGTAACAGGACCCCGGATAAAGAGAAGAAAAGCAATGGCTTTTTGTTGCGTGATTTTCCTTGCTCTCCCAGCAGTTCCCCTTTACATTTGAAAAGCAGCAGCAGCAGGTGTTTGTTTTATTTGACACCTCACTGGAAAGGTCCACAGCATGAATTGATGCAAGTGTGTTGCTGCAGTACCAAAGACCTTTTGCATGTGTATGTGTGTATGATGTTGGAGGAGACAGCTACAGCTTGTTAGTGATGGTGTCCTGCTTACAAGTGGCTCACCAGGGCAGCAAAGAGGATTTCAGCTCTAGTTTGGGATGCTGGCACAGGATGCTCTCGGGCTATGTTGTGCTGCCCTGTTGGACAGTGCTGCTGTTGTGGCTGTCCTTCTCTCATTCCTGGAGGTACTGGGGATCTCCAGGGAGAGCCATCTTTATGTGAATGAGGACTATGACACTGCAGGGTGCAACCTGAGCGTTAATGGGTCAGTGAGTGACAGCTGAGCCTTCTCTCTGAGGTACAGCACTGGCTATCACTGCCAGGAGCACAAGGTCTAGACAGTGAAGTGTGCCAATTTAATTTTGTCACATGTGGCTGGGTTGTACAGACATGGCTGTTTCTAGAACTCTTTGGCAATACTAAAACTGATTCAGACCACAATACAACATTTAAGGATGCTAATTAGAAAATAATTGCGCTGGGTTGTACAGATTTTACCATTGTAATCTATCTTAAAGGCCCCTATAGAATGGGAAGAAGGTATTTTAATGCACTTTGCATGCAAAATGAGGCACTAGATTTTGTGATTTGTAACAAAGCAGAGTAAAACCGCCATCATCCAGTAAATCAGGAAGCAAAAATAGTTCTTAAGGAGTTAGTATTCTGCTTTATTTGCTAATTAAAATGGGGTTTGGAACTGCTCTTCAAAATGATTGCTCTAATTAATTCGTTGCTCTTTTGCACTTCTACCGTCTATGCCATCTGAATACAAGGCAATCTCTTGTGCTTCTCAAAAGCATGATGGCCAACAGGGCATCCTTCCCTTTCTCAGAACAGCAGGCTTTATTGCTTGTCAGTATTTAATAAAATGTCTATTCTATACCAGGGCTAAAAAGTCATCCATATATACACTCTGAAAAATTTCTTTCCAACAAAATGCAAGTAAAAACCACATTTTTAATTAACATCAAATATTTGTTTAACTTAGGCAGAATTAAAAGAAAAACAAATGATCATTTTTATAAGGCCAGTGACAGACTTTACCTTTAATTACCTTTAAAGCTTAATAAAAGATAGTGACTATTGTAATTGCTATTCCTGTCACTGTGATATAATCTTTCATTTTGTGGTTAATGGATGATATTTAAGGTAGTTCCTACGGTTGCCTTTAAAACGTTGCCTGCAGTATTGACATGACTGTGCAGAGCACCAGATATCATATATGAAAAGGGGACCAAGGGAGTGAAGTGTGGAAGAAGATGCACTCATTTTACATTCTTCAGACTGCCCAAAAGTTTGAAAATTATTCAGATCAGTCAGGATTTAAGGAGGTGTAATTGAAATATTGATTGTGAATATATTGTCTGATAAAGGTAGCCTTGTGTTTTCTTAAACATATACTGCTTTCTGTGCATTTATATTATTCACAGGTTTCAGTGAAGAATTTAATACCACAAAGTCTGCTTGCAAACTGTTGAAGTCAGTGGCTTGCTCAGTACAGGAGGATACACATTCTATTCTTTTTTATATATATTAAAAATACAAATTCTAAAATTTGAACGAGAGGAAAAAATAAAGAATGGATCTGGAACTGAAGCTCACTGAAGAAAGCAATCACTAAAATCACTGGAAAAACAATCAGTATAGAAAGAGATTCCAAATGATTTCAAAACCTTTTTGATCAAATCTGCAATACTTGCAAGTAGTAGCATGCTCCCACAAGTATCACTGGAGTGACCTCAACTATATTTGGAAAAGAGATGTGAATCCCTCGTGTCTCATGCTGTTTGACTAGTTACATTTGCCATGACTGACAGGAAAGTTTTAAACTCTTCAGATTTTCATTGCCAGCATATTTGGAAATAACCTCTGTTTACTTAGGGTGTGTCTAAATGACCATGAATACAGCCTGTTGTATTTTAAGTAATTTAGGATATTAAAGATGAATGGTCCTAACTTTAGTTCTGTGAGGATTTTTATGCCTTCAAGCTTGAGCTACGTTAGGATTTTTTGATTATGTTTTGTGTAGCATCTGGATCCAGGGTGTTATGAGCACTGTATTAAATACTAGATAAATCATCGGAAAGAACAAGCACTTTATTTTCTTGCCCATCTGGCTTTTCAACCCCAGTCCAATATCAAACAAATGCTGTTAAAGTTTTCTTCCTTAAAAATGAGCAAGTAGAATTAACGGCCCCTACAGGTCCCATAAAATAAATCTTCTCTGGGAACGGAGGCAGTGCTCTGCCTGTCTCCACTGTGCAGGTTGTCTCTTGCAGAGGGCCTCTTCTCTGCTGGACACATGTGGATTCTTCCTGGGACAAGGTCCTTCTTGCTCTTGGGAGCTACACTCTATCCATCTTTGAGTGTCATCCACCCTCATGCTGCTCACCTCCACTGGATTGTCTTTTCAGCTTAGTACTAAACTCTATCTTTCCTGCTTCATTTTTTTCCGCCTAATGATTTATTGAAATAATGACCCACAATTTTATAGCTGAGTGTTTGCAGCTTGCAAATGGTTGCAAGTACTTAGCCTTCATTTTTGTGCCTTATAACGTTGTGATTTACTGCTGTAATCGTTATTTTCCCTACATCTGGAATATAGGCTTGCATACTCAAATCGTCATAATCCTATACATTAACATTTGCAATTCCTTTGCATTTCACTCCCACTACCAGCAGTTTTGTAGCTATGCATTTGCAAAATACTACTCTGGCAACAAAAAAATCTTTTTCAGTTAATTTTATATTTTAAAATAGAAAAGGAAAAATTTCTCTCAGTAGCAGTAAGAGGAGAAAAAAAAATACATGTGAGATTTGCTTCCTAATTTCACTGCATTATTGTCATTCCTAACTACCTGTCATCTGTCTGTGCCTGTCAAAATCTGCTGATTTTCTCTGTTGTCCATCCTTATTTTAACAGAGGTGCTTATTGCAATGGAGCTTTTTGGAGGTGCTTCCTGAAACAGAAAGGAATTAATTCAAGTGTTTTTCTCCTGTGTAAGCAGCATCTGCTGATACTTCTACCTGGTAAAACAAATATGTTTGTAGAAAGAGGCAAGAGTGTCTAGAAGGTAAAACACAAAGTCCTACCAGTGTGAGTACTGATGAGATATCTTCTGTCAAGTGTGTGAGATTGAGAAGAGTGCAGTGGGAGAGCCTGGTGGCATGGAGAGATAGCTGAAACAAGCAGATGGCTTAAAGGAAGCTGAGAAAGGCTGTTAGCACATAAAGCAGCAGACACTTGATGATGAATTGCCATTTTGAGTTGCTAGTTTTTTCTTCCTTATTTAGCTAACTACTGTTCCAATAATGACTTATATAATAGTTTCTCCAGGAAGACTTTTACATCTTCTTTCATTGGAGGCATCTTTTTTATAGAATGAAAGCACAGTAAGGTCTAATCAGTAAAGGGTCTAAAATCAGTAAGGTCTAATACAAGAAAAGGAAAAAACTGGGATGAGAGAGAAAGGTAATTATGCAACTTGCTTTATTTTCTTCTAATCAAAGTCATTCATTGCCCTATAAATGGAAAATAAGAACCTATGAGTTGAAAGAAGGAAGTCCAAATGGTCAGGCTGCTCAGGTTATATTTGTTGCACCCGTGCCAGTGGTAACTTACCCCATTCCAGCTTTTATGTCCTGGACACAGGTCCATATCACCCCTAAGCTCTTCATATCTTGCTGCTTAAGATGTCTCATTACAGTAGACCTGTCCATTACTTCTCATCTAACTTTAGGCAGACTCCTTAATTTACTCTTTTGGTTTCCCTGCCTGTGAATTTTAGCTTTCAGCTCTTAACTGACCTCAGAGCAGCATATGTGGGAGGTGAGATCTTGTTACAACACATCAAATAATATAGTAATTATCAGGAACACTCAAGGACGATACATCTTCCCAAGGCAGGACACAAAGATTGCATTTTGCCATGGAGGTAGAGGGCCAGGCAGATCTCTCCAGCAGGTCAGTCCTGCATGATCAGCCCATGGCAGGTGAGAAGCTCTTTTCAACTAGCTGTCCCCATCAGACAGTCTGGGCAATATAAGGCAGGTGTATGCATGGCAGTCACTGCTTACTTGGACAAGGGTGCACCAAGGCATATTTCAGAAAGCTCTAAACCTTGTGCACTCATGTGGCTGGGCCTGTGCTGAATCATCAGGCAAGTTGTGTATGTTGTCTAGTGTCTCCAAAGAAGAGGAAAGTGATGAAGGGTCTGGAGCACAAGTCCTATGAGGAGCAGCTGATGGAGCTGGGGTTGTTTAACCTTGAGAAAAGGAGTCTCAGCAGGACCTTATTATTCTCTACAATTACAAGCAAGGTGGGGCTCACTCTCTCCTCCCAGGTAACAAGCAATAGGACAACAGGAAACAGCTTCAAGTTGCACCAAGACAGGTGTTGACTGGATATTAGGGAAAGTTTCTTCACTGAAAGGGTAATTAAGCATTAAAACAGACTGTCCAGGAAAGCGGTGGAATCATCATCCCTGGAAGAGTTCAAAAATCATGTGGACGTGGTGCTTAGAGACAGGGCTTAGTGATGAACTTGGCGGTGCTGGGTTAATGGTTGAACTCAATATCTTAGGGCTCTTTTCCATCTGTAATCATTCTGTGATTCAGTGGAATACATCCTGGATTAGACATGATGAGTGTCCTTCACCAGTTACCTAAGAATGGGGTGGTTCTGGTTTCTAAGAGAACAGTGAGATACTGGTGTGCTTCAAGGCAAAAACACACACAGCCCTTGGGAACCTGGCAGTGTATTCTTTGGTTTCCTTTTTGCTAAGTACATTGGTTTAATGTTATTCCATAACATCTATTCATTACTGCTAATGAACATAGAAATGATAATGAAAATGCAGCTCCAATTTCCTACTGTACCTGTAAAATATTAGTAATTTAAATGAGGCCATGCAAACCATAAAATTACAGCATCACACACTCTCATCGCAATATGATTTGATTTCCTCTCTAAATGGCTCATCATCAATCCAAATAAAGGTAAAGTGTGGGTCTAACTGTTGTCTTGAATCCAATAGTTTAATTTTATTGCCTCAGTAGCAGCTGCTTAAGTGCCCCTTCCTCTGCCACTCAGTGCTGTGATACGCCTTTCCCATAAAGGAAGTTCATCAAACCTGCCAGGATTCTGCTCCAGCCCACCACAAGGGAGAGTTCTGAACTCTCAGGTTTAGAACTACAGATTATTCAGAGGGACATATGTGAGCAACAGAGGTGTGAATGTCCCTTTTTTCCCTGAACTTAATTAAAATTCAACAGAAAAATAATAATATTAGTATCATAGAATAACCTGAGATGGAAGGGACCCACAAAGATTATCAAGTCCGACTACTGGGAATATTCATCAATATTACTTCTCAAGTTATCCAACCATCCACGGGCCATTAAACTCATGAAGGAAAGACATGCCAGGGTCAGAAAAATCTGGAAATACAAGAACACTTTGAAAGTCTTCTAAAAATATCTAGATACTAGTGAACCCTAAGTGAAGAATTTTCTGCTCTAGATGGTTGTTAACTGCCAGGAAATTCCTGCAGTGGACATCATTACTGATAAATCAAGAAAATATTTAAGAAAAAAATCAATGAGGCATTTAATGTAGTCGAATTTCAAACTGAAATAGAAAAATGGAAATGTAAATATGAGTTATCAGGACCCAGAGTTCTATTAAGTTAATATTTTTAACAGGTGAATTTTACCAGTAGGAATAAATTGATTCTATCTGATACTCTGAGAATATAAGTGTCATAACTTCTAATTACTGTAATTCTTGTTCCAATTTCAGTACATTATTTGAAGTAAGAAACAGTGCCAATGTCTTCAGTGGGGAAAAAACCCACATAAGGAAATTGAAGCTGATCCAAATGAAGGTAAAAAGTGCAAATTACTTTGCAGTGTTCTAAAGCAGTTTTTGAAAGTGCTTATATAACCCATACTCAAGCAAAACTCTTTTTTTCTCACTTTTAATATATTTTTTTTTAGTGGAAAATTTACATTTACTTTGATTTAAAATCCATTTCACTATGGTGGCTAGGGATTTGGAAGCATGCATACTATGGAAATATTTCTTTGTAATTTCTGGGCCTGAGTTGATGCAGAATAAAAAATTGCTTCATTTTTCTTTCATATCAGTTGCAATGGAAAAGGTACTGCTCACTATGGACACATGAGAGGCACTCTGGGAAGAAGGGAAGTGCAAGGAATATTTCATTGGATGCCTAGGCCTTTTCTGGCCACTTAGCTTGGAATGCAACTCTGACCCTCTAGTGCAGAATTTCAAGTTTTAGATGCCCTACTGTCCTACCTAAGAGGAATCTTAGAATTATTTTGGTGCATGTAAGGAATATTTTAAAGGAAAGCCTCATTTAAATGGAAATGGATGGCAGTCCTATATCCCACTTGACAGAGCAGCTTTAACTGTACACCTTCTGATTGTCTGCAATAATGAAAGATTTTTATAGTTTTATTCTTGTGTATTATTTCCCAGCTAACCTAATTTAAGAGAACATTGATAATTTATTGTTCAAGTGCATATGAAATGCCAGTAATACACTGCCAGAGTGCTTCCCAGAAAATGTATTTTTGCTTTGTTTTCTAAAATTAAAATTATTAATATTCCATGAGAGTAAAACATAATGTTATCATTTTGTTTTCAGGAGATTTTCACAAACATTTTATGCCACAAGGAGAATAAATAGAAATATTCCCACTACTGCTACTGTACATATTTTATTATAATCATCAATCGGTTTTCATTTTTCAGTTTGGAGTTTCGCGACCTGGATGACAGTGGTTATGCTGATGAAGTTGCTCAGCTAATTAATATATAATGAAGTAATAGCTAGGTTTATCTCTGCACTTCCATACTAATGCCCTGTAACAAGAGCTGTTTAAAAATAAGCATTCATGCCAAAAAAAGTATAGTTCTGTGAACACAAGTCATTTCAGGGAGAAAATAAACTAATGCATCAAGGTTGATGAAAAACAAGCCCAACAAAGATTTTGGTGTGAATATAAACTTCCATCCTGACAGGTTTTATCATTGTCCTTTAGACAAGTGTAAAACAGCACCTCTGGAAAATCCACAAAAACAACTGTTTACAGAAAATCCTATTAAACTCTTCTCTCTGTGGCTTCTTCCAGGGACCAATGAATTTATATCTGCACTTGAGACAAAGTCTCATAAATTGAATTTTAAGGTCTCTGGTGGTTACCACAGCATTCCACCCATCCATCCTGTTTAGTAGGCTTTAAGTGTGTGCTTTAAGACAATTATTAGGAAATATCAATATTGCTGGCGTGAAAATATTGACACTTAAAATGATTTGCTAAATAAGCATGTCACTGAATTCATACATTTAGCATATGCTAATATAAATATTTGAGACTTTCCTAGGCAAATTTCAAAGCACGGGACTTTCTTCTTGTAATTAAGCAGTTATTTTACTCTATTTCCTTGTAATTTTAAAGCAGGGAGGGGGTGTTTATTACTTTTTCATAATCATGACATGATTTTTGTGAAGTGTATCCAATACTAATAAGTTCTCCATATAATTTTGAAAATTTAACAACATTTAGCAAAACTATCAGAAGGTACTTCACTATAAATGCCAGTGTTAAGTACATGGCTTCTTATTTTCTGGTCTTACTGGAGCCTTTGGTGATATATTACATTTTTTCCTTTTTCCTATTTATTTGACTCACAAAAAATGCATTTTCTTAGTCTAAGCATTTTGATTTTTAAATTCTTATCTTTCAATTTTCTTTTTTTTTTTTTTTAATATATTTTTTGTGAATGTATTCACAGAAATTTAACATTCAGGAAGAAACAACTGTAGAGGGCAAGAAGTGATGTTAGGGGTTGTTTTACCAAATCTATGGCACATTAATTAATTTATTAATAATTTTTTTTTCCCAGATTCCTAATGGTATCACTAAATGGAACTAAAACACTTTCTGGCTTTATTTTCAATGGGATTTCATTCTGTTCACTGGAATCTGATCTGATTTTTATTTTATAGTCTGATCTTTTCTGATTTTATTTTACACAAAATCTCTACTCTCATTTCCATTATTTTACAACACAGGGACAACTGCTTCTCTACTTCTACAGACTTACTAATTATAAAGAACTTCATCTGGTTTCAAAAATAGATTTTAGATTAAACTATTCTATGAGAAGCTACATGGGTAAATCTATATCATCAATATAAATCTGTGGCTAAAATGGGGAATTTTAAACCTGCTGTTTCTATGATTCTTTCTTAACATCTACTAAATATGTTATTTTTCCAAGTTATGCCTTCTGCCCAGGATTATTTTTTTTTATGGTTGATCTGGGAGACCTTATTCATAGACATATCCTAGGTCACAGCAAAAGTAAACCTTGAAGAGACTGTATGAAAATCATTAAAACATATCCCTATCTGTTTTCTACATTTTTGTCCACTTGATACAGGAAGCACATGAAAATTTTAGAAAGGGAAGAGGTGTCTACATGTAGTAATCAGAATAGGTGAAATCACAAGAACTACAGAAATTCCCTGAATTTCCTATATTTATGAAATACAGGTTGATTTGATAGTCAGCATCATGACATCATGGGATTAGCAACTATCCATTTCCCTAAATTAAGAGCAGTTAGGAAATAAATGATTAACAGACAGTGTAGAGAAGGAGAAATATTTTTGTGAACCTTTAAAAATTTTTGTTTATTTCACAGCTAATAGTAAATTGTCCCACCATGCAACTATGTTGCACACATTGTGATTTTTCCTTCTGAATAAAATTTGTAAATGTTCCAGTGAGTTTCATTTTGGTTTTGTATGAGACATTGATGTAAACTATGTTTAGATAGTTTTAAATACTTCTACTGTATCTAAACCAAACTATTTAATCTTTCTAACAGATTTACTTTTTGTACAATTCTTGTTACATTACAAATAATAGTGAAACCATCTCCATCACCAAATTATTTTTGTCTTTTTCTGAAAGCAGGATTCAGTGTATACGTGAGATTTTTTGCATTTATTTGAATGGAAGTGCTTATCATAAATGTTATGCTGCAAGTTTTCACCCCAAATGCCATTTCACCTTCTTTTCACTTCTTCTGAGTATTCTTTCGCACCCATAATTTTGTGCTTTCCCTCTGGATCATCTCTGGTGTTCATTATTTACCCATTTTTTCAGAGCCCTTGAAATCAGGACTGCACAGCTGGTGTCTTCTATTTTATTTTTAGATTTGCTACCACTTCCATTTCATTGTGATAACTTTTATCAGAAGAAAAACAAGGACGATCTTATTCATTAAAATAGAATTTTGGATAACCTTAGGGTGACAACAAAGGGATAAAATCCAGGACATGGAGTGCAAAGGCTGGCATGCTTTACTGGACTTGTTACATTGGACTCAAGCTTGGTGATACAATGAGCAAGCTTACTAAGCTACTGTCTCAGTTGTAAGTTCAGAATGTCTTATTTTTATCAGAAAAACTATTGAGTCCTATAATTAAAAATAAGATTTTTGTAGCCACAGGGTTTCCCTGGAAAGATTATACTTCTCTGCATATTATACTTTTCTGCATATTGCATCTTTAAATAAACCAGCTCCCTCATCTCTGCTGTTGAGACAGCAGTTCAGTCTCTTAATTCCTTTTACAAAACCCTTTAAAAATATTAATATGTATGACAGTGCCTTTGCTCAGTGCACAAGGGAGATACTGAAATCTATTCAGTGAGCTGCTGCAGTGAGTAGCAGTTCGCAGGAAAGGGCCTCTGTACTTTATGACTAAGATAAAACATCTGGCTCAGAGAGAATTTCAAAAGCATGAGGAGCAAGTCAATTGCAGATAGGATGCAGAGAGTGCCACCAGATCACAGTCATAACACAGTGCTACTGGATGCCTTAGTTTCCTGTGGTGGAATTGCTCTCCTTTTCCTTTAGGACACCAAAACAACCTTGAGCTGAGGTTTTGGTCAGGAGCTGGTTCAGTGACTGCACAGCCCCTAAATGGCCAGTGATGCCCTTCTGGTGGTGATAGAGCCCTTCACAAACTCCCGGCTCTGGACATCCCTGTGCCCAGGGACTGCAGTGAGAGGGGGAAAGCTTGAGGACATAAATATTTGTATTCTTTATCTGTGTTTTCAATTGGTTTTGAATTTCAAAGCTAGAATTGAACAAAAAAAAAACAAAAACTAACACCTTCTTTTAAGGTAAAGATCTTAGCTTTCACTACTATAATATTTAGTTTGTAGAAAGAGCAATGCCAGGCTATGAAAATCTTGATTATTGTTCTTGTGCTTCCTCTTCTTTCAGATTTTCCTTTCTTGGGAGAAGTTAGGAAGTTTCAGTGCCTGTTAGCTGAAGTCTCTAAGCAGTCTCAGTTTGGTCCAGATAGCCTAGTTTTCACCAAACACTTAGAAATAACCAGGCAGCTTCTTGCTGAAGACAAAACCAGGATAGCCTATACTCCCTTGTTGGGCAGTTCCAATGGAGTGGAGACTACTAAAGACCTTTCCATGGAGTGTATTGAAACTAAAATTACATTCTGGTCATGATGGTTATCCAAGGCAATTGTGGAAGCCCTAAGAAATGAGTTTTCAGAATCTTTATATTCCTTGTGAAGTTTCTAGGGGTTTTCAGCTTTTAATCACCTCTTAAAATGAGTAAAAAATTAAAAGAGGAATTTTTTCAAATGTTTTAGAGATTATATTTCACCCTGTCAGAACAATTATGGATGAACAGCTGTAGGAAAACTTACAGCCCATTGGCTTTATTTTTGGGTGAATATCTGAGTGTAATGTTCTAAGAGGCTTGTGTCAACAGTAGCCAATAGCACTGTTTTACATGTACAATATTAAATTTCATCAA